AAAATACCGAATATCGGAAGGTACTGTTATATGGGGGATATACGAAGACGTGGACCTGCACAGACAATTTTCTGTCATAGGTTGAAGTACACATTACGAATTTCAAATCAACATTTCACATTCAAACATTTTTGGTGAATAATGTCGCTTATTCACCAAAATACTGAAAAAAATTGTGGTTTCATTATAAGAGGCTATACCAAAATGTGGACCTACATGACCCATTTTTAATACCAAAAGTCCTGCAGACATAATACACATTTGAGTAAAATTTTATCAACTTTGTTCATTTCGTTCGGAAGCTAGAGTGATTTCCACAGATGGACAGAGGGACGGAAATCGCAGATATTATTTCTGGCAGTACTTTCGGATGTGAAAAATAACATAAACTCCTTTACTCAATTGAATTAGCCGAGGTTAGAAAAACCAGTAGGAACGCAGACATTTTGATCAGTTACGTCTGCCTTTCAACTGTGAACATCAAAAGTAATGCGCAAAGTATTTTGTATTTTGATGTGTATAATGCGGGCTACATAAACCTATAAATTTGCCAACGATCACACTGAACTTAGGTTAGGTTGAAAAGGGGGGCGAAGCAATTCGCCGCATACCCTGTTGGGCATATACTCAAGCCGGTATAGGCCTTTTGTGCGCTCTAGACTAAGGCTTTTGTGAAGAAGGCGGGCAGTTTACAGTCTGTTATATTTGAATTTAAGTTGCCTTTATGAAATTTCTTAACTGTCTTATATCATTTACCATGGTCTGATTAAGGTCTGGTGTGGAGTCGTGAATTGGGATCTGAAATTAGCACACGCTGGGCATTGGCAGAGAAAATGTTCCAATGTTTCGCCTTTCCCACATCCTATCTTGTACAGATGAGCTTGTAGGCCCAGGTGCCCCGTGAGGTTGCCTGTTACCTCACTAATAACAGGTTTTTCGTTTTTATCTCATCTTGATCGACCCATAAGATTTTGTGGTTTTCCCTACACCCTCATTGTTTCATAGGGATATATGGGCGTTTTTTGCCCATGTCTTTAACGCTAGACGTGATGCATTAAGCGGCACTGGATTGTCTCCGCTTATTGTTGCTAATTCCCTGCCTGTTTTGGCGAGAGAGTTTGCTATCTCGTTACCCCTAACTCCCGTATGACCTGGTACCCATATAATGCGTACTACGCCGTGTTGAGAGTAGTTGTTGATTGAATTTATACATACCAAAACGGTTTTTGAAGTTACTGTTTTGGATGTTATAGCCATTATAGCTGACTTGCTGTCCGTTAGGACGTTTACGGTAGCCGGTCTTGTGTTGGCATTAAGCCAGTTGAGGCACTCTGCAATCGCCCGGACCTCCGCTTGTAGGATCGTATTGTGATCGGACACGCGGAAAGAGATTTTGGTGTTCGTATCCTCGATAAAAAGTCCCAGTCCCGCTCTCTCCCTAGGCATTGAGCCGTCTGTTTAACAACAGTTTCCAGTCGGCATTTGTGGTAGGAATTCGTCGATCCACGAGTCTCTGGTAGGGATTAATGTTTCACATGAGGCAGCTACAAAAGTTTCAGATATCCGGTCCGATACAAAATTTTCTATAGATTCTCCCGTTGTTACCTGTAAAATTGTTTGATGGTATGTAGCGTGGTCTTTGCTTATCCACTCGTTCGTCGCCCTAAGCGGCTTCATACCGTATCTGAATATATATTGGGTTCACAAATATAATTGTCTCTAATGCCCTAGTTGGTGTTGTCCTCATTGCGCCCCAAATATTTAAACAGCACATTCGTTGGACTTTCTGTAGTATTTTGATATTAAATTTTTTATGTAGTTTTTATGTTTATGCTGTCCACCAGACTAACGATGCGTATGTTATAACAGGTCTTATTACGCTTTTGAATAGCCAGTGTGTCATCTTTGGATTGAAACCCCATTTAGAGCCTATAGCCCTTTTACATGTTGCCCAACATCTATGAGCTTTGTTTGCTCCTTCTTGGATGTGGTCCCTCCAATTAAGTTTCCTATCTAGAATCACACCCAGATATTTAACCTTATTGGAAATATTGATCGTCTTGTTCAACGATATGGCCCAGTTTTCTTTTCCTAGTGAACATAGACATATCTCAGTTTTTTCCGGGTTAACGTTAAGACCTCCCGGTCTGGCCCAAGTGTATGCAAGTTTCAGAGCCCACTCGGCCCTTCTGCACAGCAAGTTAGGGTTCTTTCCCCTCAGAAGTATTATAACGTCGTCTGCATAACAGACTGGTTCAAAGCTTTCTTTGGTTAATGTCCTTAGAAGACTGTTAATGGTAGTAAACCACAGGAGGGGTGATAATATCCCTCCCTGTGGAGTTCCTTGACCAACTTTGTGCCTTATTTTAACTTTATATAGCCCACAGCTTATCCCTCTATTCATTAGCATGTGGTTTACCCAGTGTCTTAGGCCCCGGTCGACCTTATCTAAGGATTGGACGGGTGTATCTGTGCTGACATTGTTGAACGCACTTTCGATGTCAATGCATACTGCTAGTGTAAACATCTTCTTACCGAAGGTGCTCTCGATGTGGTGTACAACCTCATGTAATGCGGTTTTCAATGAACGTCCTTTAACGTATACATGCTCCTTTTATTTGAGAATATCGTTTGCAATTCTGCTGTTGGTGTCGATTGTACGTTCCATGGTTTTGAGTGAGAATGATGTTAGACTTATCGGTCGATAAGACTTGGGTATTACTGAGCTTGCCTTCCCAGGTTTGGGTATAAAAACTACCCTGGATTCCTGCCAGGCTTTAGGGGTATACGCAAACTTTAGGCACGAGTTGAAAATTCCGGCTAAGTTGGACGAGATAATGTCCACTTCGTTTTGGAGCAGAGCCGGGAAGACCATATCTGGTCCTGCTGCCTTAAACGGTTTGAAACTTCTGACGGCTTCCTTTACCATAGATTCATCAATTTTAGGTGCATCCTCAGTCGCAACCATATCATCCACCATTGTCTCGGCTTGTGTATGGGTTTTTGAAAGAAACTTTTTTATTTTTGAGACATCATTCACACTATCAACCTAATTCGCAGGTGCTTCGTTTAACTGTTCTTACTATTTTGTTGTATTCTTTAAGTTTGCTATGGTAGCTGTCCCAGAATACTGCTGGTTTCTCTTTTTCTTTGTTACGAATTTCCCCTGTCATCCAGCGTTTTTCGTAGGCAGATTTCCTCTCCCGATGTGAACAATCTCTGTTGTAAAGCCTTCTGACTTCTTTTTCTTTGTTACGAATTTCCCCTGCCATCCAGGGTTTTTCGTAGGCAGATTTCCTCTCTCGAAGTGGACAGGATTCCTCGAAAGACTTTACAAGGGTCTCCGTTAACCTATTGACATCTCTGTCTACGTCGTCTGTGCTTAGACATTCAATTTCCTGCCCTAGCTTCTCTTTTACTAGTCTCCTATACTTCATCCAGTCAGTCTGCGATTTGTTCCGGAAACGTATTGGGTTCGGCGGGAGCCGTGTTAGTTCAAACCTTATATACCTATGATCCGAGAAAGGGTGTTCTTCCGAAACCCTCCAATTCTGAATCTCGTTTATAAGATTTCCTGAACAAAAGGTAATGTCTAAAACCTCCTCTCTAATTTTGTTTACAAAGGCCGCTTTATTCCCAATGTTAAGAATTATTAGGTCGTTAGTATTTAGAAAATCTGGTAGGGACTGGGCACTTTTATTAATGTTAGTACTACCCCACGCAATGTGGTGAGAGTTAGCATCGCCACATACAAGTACTTCGTTACCAGTTTGTTATGTTTTGCTCACAAGCCGCTGCAGTTCCGATGAAGGTGGTAATGTCGGCGCGTCGAACGGTAGGTATACTGACGCTAGGTATATATTTCCATTCCACCTCACCAACGTAAGGCTGCCGTTTTCCCACGGGGGTTTTATCTTCTCGATAATCACCTTTAGGGCGGCAGTGTTAGCATGCGCTGTAAGCTTCAAGAGCACTTTTATTATTCTTCCGCTGCTCACGATAGGTATTGGATCTCCACCTTCCATGATATCATCCAATATTTTCTTATTGACCATTTCCTCTAAGGCTTCCAAATGGTCTTTATGCAAGTTGCCTAAACCTATGTTGGAATCGGTCAATGCATAATGCATTTCGTCCCTCAAGTGTTTTTTGGCTGTCTTTGCGTAAAAAGGCGGCTTTGTACCCTTTTCCTCGGTCCGTTTCCTCTTCTGTTGGGCAAGTGATTCCTTTTCGGAAACCCCTGATTTAGCAGTAGATTTCACGGTCGTTCGCACCTTTCCGGTGCTTGCCTAACCTTGTCGCCCTCGGCTAAAGGATTCTTGTTACAGCCTATTTTGCGAGGACCTTGACGTAGTTTACCCGGAGCATCTGCAGGTGGGTAGCTTTTTTTCGCCGGCTTCATAGTGCTCTGTTCTTCAAGGCCCCCTTTGGAACATCCTGCGCCTTATTATTTTTGCTGTTTTGTTGTCTTTTGAGCTTTCGCCGTTGGGCCCAGACAGCTTCGCTGTCACTCACTTCTTCTATCGTGTTGTGCGCCTCTTCCTTAGTAGGGATTCGCAGGACGGTAGTTTTGTTGCTGCTGCTGTCGGACTCGGAACCTGAGGCGCTACCTGTCGTTGAAGGCTGGGTCGAGCGTATGCTTCCCCTGAGTTCTTCAGACCCTTTGTCTGGTTTGTTGCCCGGAGGCTGCGTGCTTGTAGCAATACCTTCGACCGCAGATGCCAAGGCACTCACATCTGCGGGAGAAATTTGCACACGATCGTTGGATGACGACAGGGTGTAACTCGTGGCTGGATCACAAACACCCGTCGGTACTGGGTTATTTAGGCCCTGCACCGTAACTTTTTCTTTCTTTATTCCTTCTTCCATGTCGGTTTTTTTGTTTTTGGGGAACACCCCCGTAGTCAATTTTTTTGTCCGCGGGGAGTAAAAACTCCCTGGGACGGGTGATCACACTATTCCGCTCCACCCAGTTCGTAGCTAGTCATAGCCATAGTTCGAGCAAAATAGTGTGATTATCCATCCCCCCTATCCGCCGTGCGGACGCGTCTTGTAGGTGAACTGACAAACACCCTCAGGTGAACTTAGTTGATGACGATTATTGTGATCTGGGAAATTGTTTGAAATGTGAATTGATACATTGTACGGTTACTGGAAATATTTTGAAGTAAAACTATTAAATGTGCGTAAACTAATAGATGTTGTTGTGCAACTTCAATGGGCTTTGATTATTAACTCTTGCAAAATTTAAATTTCGATAAAATATTAAATTGGATTTCTTATAGGACTCAGCCATATTCTAAGTGACATAGGGGATCATTTTTGTACAGTGCTGTACCAGTTACATGCTAATGTTATTGTGCGTGCTAGTTTAAAAAATGTATACATGTCCATCAATCCGTTTTTTTTTTTTGTTACTTGTTATGTTAATTTTACAAAATGTTATCAACAAAATTGATTAAACTCTGAGCCAAAATTTTGATGTGAGATGCTTCTTTAACAATGCTATTGAGTGTTTTAGTGAACAATTGAATCTTTGTAACTATTCCCTCCAAATAATGCGACTAATTCATGCACGCGTCTAAAAAGTAGTCCATAACAGACCAGGGGTAGTTCAAAACTAATCCAAAATAGTCCATAGAGTACTTTTGCGCTTTTCTCTGAGTGTACATATTTTTAATACTGTTAATCTTACTTAGCACTTTAAGCTTAATATGATAAATAATAATTTATAGATTATTTTAATGTGAATTTAATATGAACAGCTACGAAAGTATAACAGTTTTAACGATATATACACTCAGAGAAAAACAAGAAATTAAACAACGGATTTGTGTATTGTATAAAACATATAAATAAATAATTCATTTTGCAGGTACTTTTCAATGAAAAAAGGAAAGATAAATAATAAATTCTATTTAAAAAGAAAACTTAAATTATGCTCCAATTCACAGTTATACAATGTATAACAATGTTACATTTTTTGGGAACTATTGAGGGTTTGCAGCTGCATTTTGTGGTCTGCTAACATTTCCACTATTATTTTGTTTTGTTGTTCTGTTGTCACTATTAAATAAAGATCTGTATAATAAAAATTAATGATGACGAAAAAACATTATGCTTTACTTTGTAATTTTGAGAGCTGTTGCTATATATTTTTTGTTCAGCCATTTTTCTAGCCATTACTTGATTTTGAGTGTTGATCATTTCTATAAACTAAACAATTTTGTTAATAAAGAAGAAACACCATATTGAACAAAAACTACCATTGAGTTCTATGCAAAAAGAGCATTGATTTGGCACAGTCTGAAAAACATAGTAATATGGCTTTAGAAAATTTAAAAATATAATAAATTTACTTACAATTATAAAGTCTGTTGCAAGCATTTAGATGTTTTAGATTTCTGCCTTCCATTACAATTGTTGTACGATTGTGTAGACAATAACAGTTAGAATTGTGTAGATAATAAGTGTTGGCTATATTAAGAATATTAGATTTTTTTAGCTTTTTACAACTTTAAATGCAACTATGAAGAATTGGCATTAAAAGAACTTTATTTTCAAAGGGCAATGATATTATTTTGTAGATAGTGTTTTCAATATTCAATTACAAGACAAATGTTGTCTGGTGTTTTAATACTCAACCAGTATTCATCACCTAAGTAACCATAAATAAGTCAATTTTTTCTTTTAACCCCATGTTTTTGGCTCTTCTTTTAAATTTCGATATTTCGTCTGTGTAATTGATTCATGATATCAGTTGGTTTGCGAACATCTTTTTTTTATCATTTGCAAGTGGTTCTCAAAACCATATGCTGAAAAGCTGTACAACAAACCGTGATGTTTGACGCATTCATATACATGAAGCAAACTGTGCACATTATAGAAACGTTTTGAGGAAAAAAAAAGCCTTATTGCACAATGAAAGACTAAAAACGTGTAATAAAAATCATCACCAATATGGTTTTTTAAGACTAAAACACCAGTGTACAATAAGTATTGATGAAATTTTGTAGCTTTCTAGTTTGCAAGTTCATCCAAACCACGAGGCATTCTTGTGAAGTCTTTAGTAATACATTTTTTAATGAAACTAGTAATTATATATATTTCCGTTATTCGAAATTGAATTTTTTTCATTTATTTTATTTTTTACTGCTTTCATCAACATTTATATAGTTACCCCTAAATCAATAACGTGCATTGGGTCTAAAGCCACTTGACTGATCATTGTTCAGTCGCTTGGTTCAAGTAAAAAACGTATATTGAGCAGTTTCAAAGCAGATATGTAGCCGGTTGAAATCAGCTAAAATCTGCAAATTTATTAATTCAAATTCAATGAAATTCATAAGGCAGATTAAATATTAGTAAATATACATACACTTGTGTTTTATATGATGATATTTATGATGAATTGATAATTCAAGACTTTAACCAAAGAAATTAATTTTGATAAAATTCAACTTTTCAGGATGGAGAATAAAAGGAAATGAACGAGTTGTCATCACCTCTTAACTCTCTTCAACCATTTACGGTTGTAAAATTGTGTATTACATGAATGCAAATGTTCATTATTGTACAGTAGTGCATTTGAATTTACGGTGCGTACGAATTACGTATCGCGACGTAACATAGCCCCGCCGTAAACTTCGTAGGGAGAGTAGGAGTTTACTATTCTACATCAAGTTTCGCCAACTTTACTACAGGCCCATTTTTGTCTTTACGACGGCACTTCTTACTACATCTTCTTTACCACGGTGTACATCGATTATCATTCCCTTCGACCACTCATTTCTTTTTGCGTTGTCATCAACAATTATGACAACGTCGCCAGCTTGTAAGTTGTCGCCCGACCTATTAAACCACTTTGTTCTCCTCGTCAAGCACGGCAAGTATTCCCGTATCCAACGTTTCCAAAACTCATTGGCAATCATATTTGATAAACGAAACATTTTAGTTGAGGGCATTCCTCTATGTTCCGAATAGTCACGCTCTCTTATACCACTTGAAGAGTCAAGTAAAAAAAGATTTGGCGTTAAGGCTTCCTTATCTGTAGACTCCAGCGGTATGTATGTCAATGGCCTAGAGTTAAGAGTGTCCTCTACATCAGCTAAAGCGGCTCTTAAAAATTCCTCTCTCAGTTCTCTTTTGGGCAGAATGTCCATTAAAACAGGCTTCACAGAGCGTACCATCCTCTCCCAAGCACCACCCATATGCGGCGATGCAGGTGGTATGAACTCCCACTCAATTGTTGGAAATTTCCTCTCTACCTCAGCACTTGATATTTTCTCCACTTCTTTCAAAAGTACCCGACTAGCTCCTCTGAAGTTGGTTGCATTATCTGATAAAATTTTTATCGGAGTTCCACGTCGGGAGATAAATTGTTTGAGAACTAACAAAAATGAGTCCGTAGATAATGATGGAGCAATTTCAATATGTATCGCTCTCACAGTCATACACGTAAAAAGAACTCCCCATCGTTTCTCTCTTCGTCGACCAACAGCAACCTCTATAGGGCCAAAATAATCAATTCCTGTATAATAGAATGGTCTTTTGAAAACTGCTAACCTTTCTGCGGGAAGGTTTCCCATTGTTGGAGCGGACGGAGTTGCCTTTCGTATTTTGCAGGTCTGAAATTCTTTACAATACGCACGGACAGCAGCTCGTAAACCGGGAATGTAAAATAGTTGGCGCATTTCATTCACTACAATTTCGTTGTGTTGGTGATGATATTTGCGGTGGTAATAGTCAACAATCAGATTTGTTATTTTATGCTTCTGTGGTAATATTATGGGCCTTTTTACGTTCATCCCCACGCCGTTTATTTCATCTATTCGACCCTTTATTCTAAGTATACCGATTTCGTCAAGGTAAGGGGTCGACTTATACAGGGAACTTTTCTTTGACAAGAAGCCCTTTAATTTAAGTTGTTCTATATCTGATGAAAAAACTTCTTCCTGGCAAATTTTGAATGCGAAGAATTCTGCGATATGGACTCCAGTGTTTTGAATAAACGGGTTCAACTCTGTAGACGTCTTTCTGTCCCCAATCAATTTTCGTAAAACTTCGACGGGATTATTGGTCTCGTTAAGCTCCGACCTTGGCAAAGATTCTTTATCTCCATTCAGGAAAGACGGTCCATTGAACCAGCGGCTATCATGATCCAAATCCGGGTTTTTATTCCATTTAGTGGCGTCGTCAGCCACATTTTGGGACGAAGGAACCCATCTCCATTCTGAAATTTTAGACCCTTCTAGGATTTCACCTATCCGGACTGCCACAAACTGTTGGAACTTTCTAGCATCAGATCTTATCCAGTATAGAACGTCCTTTGAATCTGTCCAAAATATACGCTGATTAATTTTAAGTGAGCATTCTCGATGAAACTACAAGGACGTAAACCTAGAATTGCAGCCATCAATTCCATTCTTGGAATTGAAATTGGTTTCAATGGGGCTACGCGAGTTTTTGAAGCCAATATCGAGCACTTTATTGTGTCTCCGAATCTCACTCGTAAGTATGCCACTGCAGCATACGCATCGATACTTGCATCTACAAAGGTGTGCAATTGAACATCGTTGGACTTGTTAGCCGACGGATACCAACGAGGAATACGAACTTGCTTTATTTTCGGTAAACACGAAATCCATTGTTACAATCGTTCACGTTATGCGCTTTGTGTCGGTTCATCCCAGCTCACTCTTGACCTCCACACCTCTTGTAATACGATTTTAGCGTTAATGACGAAGTGTGTCAAAAGGCCTAGAGGGTCAAATATAGTCATAACGATGCTCAAAATTCTCCTTTTAGTAGGATGTATAAGTTATCATGAGGAACCCTCGTGTTCCCGTATTCCCACAGTTTGGCTGCACTAAAGCAACCAAAAACCCCACACGAGCTGCTAAGTCAGCGCATTAAACACCTTATTCTAAACACCTTATTCATTTGGTTGCACCCAAACCAACTACTTACAAATTCATGGGAAACCTTCATGCTCCCGTATTCCCACAAGTAACACGAGCCGCCTATTCAACACTCCACTGCAGGTTAATAGCCCAATATTCTACACGGGCCACTGTGTCAGCAAGAAATGCAATGGCAACGTTGGCAGAGCGACAGCGGCGCAGCATAATGTGGTGGCTTAGTTTTAAGTAACAGCATTATTGTAAATTCAGTTTTTAACAGTTTCAATGAATAAAGTTTAATCCATTCATTTTGATTAATTGGCGCCCAATGTCGTGGTTCACTTCGCGAAAAAAAAAAACTCTAAAAAAGTTAGAACTGTGAAAAGTGAAACTACAAAATATAAAATAAAAATACAAATCCTAAAAAAGGAAAAGTAAAAACCAACGTGGTTCACTTCGCGAAAAGAACTCTAAAAAAGTTAGAACTGTGAAAAGTGAAACTACAAAATATAAAATATAAATACAAATCCTAAAAAAGGAAAAGTAAAAACGTACGTGGTTCACTTCGCGAAAAGAACTCTAAAAAAGTTAGAACTGTGAAAAGTGAAACTACAAAATATAAAATAAAAATACAAATCCTAAAAAAGGAAAAGTAAAAACGTACGTGGTTCACTTCGCGAAAAGAACTCTAAAAAGTTAGAACCGTGAAAAGTGAAACTACAAAACATAAATTAAAAATCCTGTGAGGAAAAAAATATAAATAGGAAAGAAACTCAGTCAAAACTGTACCAAAATACCCTTAAGAAAAAAGGACTCAATTGTGTTCGAAAATAAGCTTAAGTCACCAAGGAACGAATATCCTTGGGCAGCGAAAGGCAACATCGAAGACGATCTACAGAATCACCAAGGAACGAATATCCTTGGGCGGCGAAAGAAAGTGAAAAACAATCAGAAGGCTCATCAAGAAACACACATCCCGAGGCAAGAAGTGGAAAAAGCTACCGAAGATCAACAACAGAAATTAATTTTAATTAATTTAACTAACATTTAAGGATGATAAGGTAAGTGAAGTGCCATTTTTTGTTTTAAAGTGAAAATTGAAATAAAAAAGGAGAAAATTCATTCAAAAATATTTTTTTTTTTTTTGGGAATACTCCATTTTTGCGAATAATTTATGAGTCAGGAATTAGAAGACTTATTAGGCAAATTAAGCTTAGAAACAAAAGAAACCATGAACGCCGAACAAGTAAGTGAGCTAGTTAGAGCAGAAGTGAGCAGAGCATTGGCCGCTCAAAAATTAGAATTCGACAGGAAAATAACTGCGATTAACAGTAGACTTGCTACTGACAAACCTAAAATTGAAAAGTTTACGAAAGTTCGGATAAATCCGCTGGTACCTTGTGATATCACCTTAGATGCCATAAAGTCTCTTCCGGAATTTTCCGGACAGCCAGGCACCTATGTGTCATGGCGCGAGGCAGCGCACAATGCATACGAGTTATTTGAAAAATACGATGGCAGCGAACGCCACTATCAAGCGGTGATTATTCTTAGAAATAAAGTGCGAGGTGCCGCCGATGCAGTACTTTCATCCTTTAGCACGGTATTAAGTTTTAAAGCAATCATTGCCCGTCTCGATTTTACTTACACGGACAAACGTCCGATATATCTGATCGAACAAGAACTGTCCACGCTGAGGCAGGGTTCGATGCAGTTACTAGATTTCTACGATGAGGTAGAAAAGAAATTAACCTTGTTAGCCAATAAGACAATCATGTCATATGAAAATAGTGTAGCAGACACTATAAACGAAAAATACAGAGCCGATGCACTTAGGGTTTTCATATCAGGTTTAAGGAAACCCCTTTGTGATATCCTGTTTGCCTCAAGACCAACAGACCTCCCTTCTGCATTGGCCTTAGCACAAGAAGTAGACGCTAATAACGAGCGCTACGCTTTCGCGAAAAATTTCGCAAACAGATCTGATAGTTCTTACAACAGAAAGGCAAGTTCTGCCCAAAATTCCCCTAATACGGATCACAATGTGGGACAGAAGAACCCACATTATTCGGTTACCAAACAGAAACAGGCTGGTCAACCGCAGAACAACTTAAATAACCAAAAGCAACACACCAGTGGTAACTTCGCCGATCATAGACGTGTCGAACCTATCCC